TTTGTCTACGATTGGAGCTGCTGTACGCTCTACTACAGTGACCCGATTAGTGTGGAAGTGAGCGCGGAGTAATGACTGGTGGAATAGTGTCGTTATACGAACATGGGACAATTTTCACACCCAAAGGTCGCCGCAGAGGGCGCTTAGCCCTGGGCTAAGCGTTCGCGCATACTTCGTTAGCCCGTGCTAAGGTCTAGACCGCGTCTTAAATTCGGATCAGATTTAACCCGTAACTTAGCATTCCTTAGCCCGTGCTAAGCGTTCACGCATGTTTTCTTAGCACGGGCTAAGGAATTTGACCTCTTAGCCCGTGCTAAGAAGCTGTGCGTGAACGCAACTAATGAGAGGAACTTGAATGTGTCCAGACAAACTATTTCATCGATTATTTACCAACGAGTTGTGGTTTGAGTTGGGGGCAATGCGACTAAAACAGTAATTGAAATTCAGGACACTATTTTTTTAAACGCGTTGCTTGAATAACACTAACCAGACACATTCAATTTACCAGACTATTGAACAACTAGGAAAAGTGAAAAAAAATACTTCTTATCGCCAGCATAAATGCGTAATTATTTTTTTTACAGAAAAAGTAATTTTTCACCTTTGATTGAGTAACGCGTCGTAGATTGCAGATACGGGCATGGAAAATACACTTGTGAAAAGCTTGAAGTCTGGCGATTCTAAAAATATATACTTGCCCGGGTCTATTTGTAGTCATTTAGTCACAATTAGAAGATGAAAACAAGTATGCAAATAATAGTCTCGCTACCTTAAGGCAGTTTGAACATAATTCATATTTTGCACTACTGAGCTCATATATGCAATGCATTATGGGAGAGAATTCCCCATTGTAAATAATATCATTTTTTTACATTCAATTTCCATGGCATTTCAGAAAAATTGTTTTTTTATTTTTGGTACTCTTAAGGGACGACGTCAAAAGATCGATGTCGGATAAAAAACTTATTTGCTTTAGTTTGAGGGTGGGTGGTTTTGACCTCAAAAAGTTTCCATCCTACAAAAACGATTTTATTTTTTAATGAAGTCAAACAAATCTTGGGAGTATTTGTAGTTCGTTTTCTTTCTGTCTAATCATGGACAAAAATAACAGAAAATGAAAAAAACATGTCCAAGACAAGAAAATGGTTTGGTTTGAGTGTAAATATGTGCATCAAATGAAATCAATTTCAGGGCATGGACCTAGAACCAACTGCTATGCCATACTACTGTCGATTATCAATTTGTATTTAATGATGAATGTAGTCTGATCCCATGATCAATATTTATCAATTAAGTTTCAGTGGGGGGTGGGGGGGTTTGGAAAAAAATGAAGGAATTAAAGTTTTTTATCCTACATTGAACTTTTGATGTTGTCCCTATTATTATAACATTATAATATTCTGTTAATTAATGTCACATACCTTGCTGTTGTATTTTCTAATAAAAATGGTGCTAAAATTCCAGCGAAACCCTGCGCTGATAAACATTTAAATTTCTCTGCATATACATCTTGGTAACCCCAGAAAAATCCTCTATACAGTCCTGAAGAATCCTTTTTATAGACTGGTGTATCAATACAATCTCTTTCATCCAATTTTTCTTCCCATTTACCATCTGTCCATCCTTCTTTGTATCTTTGCAAATAGTATAGTTCATCTATTTTAGATTGCCCCGTCTCTGTGGACAGAAAACATGGGAGTATCAAGTTCATTCACGATGTACTATTTCATGTTCCACAGCTCATTATGTATCATATGCAAGTGTTTTTGTTTTGAAATTCAAAAACTTATTAAACATTTGTTGGACTTTGTGCATGTACGGTGTAATTTGTCAATGTTAATGTCACATTCAAATAACAGAAAATATTGCATCAAATACCATAACTTAATAATATTTTTTGCTGAAATTATTTTCACAGATATTTTGTGAGATGAATGTGAAGAAAAGATCCTCAGAGTATTCATTGAGTATTCATTAGCTGCAATAATACGATACTTACTTGACTCAATTCCCAAAATATTCAGAGATATAATAAAATAGACATATGATTTACAAAATATAGGTCAATCTAAAACTACTAAGATCTTTTTCTTTATTCCTAGGATACTAACATTGGTTATAGAATGATAAGTGATCTGTATAGGGTTTTGATACCATGAGGTTCAAGTCAACTGATGTCAAAATACTGTATGGTTGGAATCACAGTCACAAGTATTCCAAGCCATATTTATCAATCATATAGTAAATTCACTATCATTCTTCACCATGATATTTGTACACACAGAGGCAATACATAAACAGTTTATATGATTAATTTATGTAAACCATGGTTTTTATAAAAAGCAAGGATCTACACCACCTTCTATCACTCTATAGGTTATAGGTCTTGCGTTCACGCAAGCAAATTTTCCATGTTATTTCTGAGAAAATGCATGCTTTTTTTTTTCAACTGTGCTGTATGTCATTTTTTAACCTAGAAGTTAACAGAATTAAATTCCAGGAGGAAGGATCTTTTTTATGTTCCTCGAGAGTAGAGTAGAGGTTACAAAGCAGGGCTTCATGAACCATTTAGCTAGACTTTTTAATTAATGTTTCATATAGTGTAGATATTTTTAGTGATTCCCCTTTGTATTTAAGAAGACTTTAGTAACTGTATTTAATAATTTACGAACTTATTTGTATTACATGTATTGTAAATGTTTTGGGTCTGGTTTACTCTACTACATCCAGTTATATTCAGTGGCTGCCTAGTGCGCTGTTGATAAGTAATTAAAAATACTAGTAATACATAAATAAAATATGAGCATGAGCATCCTGCAATCTGATTGCTGGAAACTACCTGACCATGTCAGAAACTGTTTTCTGAAATCTTACCTTTTAAAAACTGTTCAAATTCTATAACTGGAACATGTTTATTCATACTATCTAAATCAAAGAATAGCGACCAGGCAATTTTCATTTGTGCTATATGTCGGGATTGCCAGTGATATATTCTCCCCCATGGCGGTAAAACTAATGTCCAATCTTGATGATCTTGTAGTTTTTTCACCAAATTAGCGACTCTCATGTAAACGTCTCGCCTTAGATTAAAACCTTCTCCAGGATTCACATCATACAATAGATATCTGTGAAGACATGAATAAGGTATAGGAACACATATTTAACTGACATTATTTGGCAGCCGCTTAAAGTCGACCTGTTAACTACTGGCAGGTTAATTCAACCCCCAACTACTGCCACATGGTAACTTGTGCCATACATTGTAAAAGTTCAACAACATGTGGCGTTTAGTAAATACCAACAAGACCTCAACCATCAGAATGTACTCATTAATTCTCATATGTGTAGATGCTCTAATAGAAGCTGCATTTCCTCTGTTGCATGTACCATTTTAATAAAAGCCACAGCTTCTAATACAGATTTTACAGCACTATTTGTAAATGTTATAAAAAAAATAGCGTGGTTACTCTTCATTTGGTTTAATCTTGAGCCGATACTGTATATGCTATTTTACATTTCTAAAATAAATAAACTATTAGTATTACTATTTTTTATGGTTGAAAATAAAATTCAAATGACATGAGATTATTACATTTCTATGATTCTTCAATCAATAAGAACATTTAAAATAATAAGGGGACTCATCTCTGTGTACAGATCTGTGAAAGTGCTGATCGTTTTCATTGTGACTTTGTTGGAACCCAACACACAGGATTGCTTTAAAGTCCTAATGTAAACATCACCATACATGCAAGGCTGGTGATCTGAATTGACAGCAGAAAACAGAAAATTAAAAAAATGATTCCAAAATACAATCCATATAAGAGGTAATTTAAAAATTTCGAACAAAGAAGGAACCAACAAAACACAATTAGAGAAGTAATTAAAATGTTGCCATTTCTACCAGATGGTTGACAACAAGTGGATAAATTAGTGTTGTTGCCAAAAATTAGGTGTCTAACCCCAAACCACTAAAAAAAGATGATGAACAAAATTATTGGTGGTGTCCATAGACATGGCATGGGGTGATCGCTTGGTGGGTCACTGGCCTTTCAGTTCGGTAGCGATGTGATTTTGTATATCCCATCAGAGACCAAATTGTCACTAAATTTATTTAGTTATAGGTTAAATCTACTCATTATCCGGACTCATCAATAGTAATAAAAGTACTAAAACTCGGGTAAATACATGAAAATTAAAAAAAAAAGACCCCATCCTCCAGCCTCATCCTTGACAAGCAAACCTGATATTAGACTTAAAGGCAAGAAAGAATCTATACCCCATTCTAGACCAAACGGGGGGGGGGGCGTAAAACGATCTTGAAAAACGACCGCTTGCCCAAGCATAAGAGAATATATACATAAATACCAGTCTGTATTTACAAATGCACACTCAATGGAGGATTCCATTAAATTCCTACTTTGTGATGTACTGCCACGTACGATAATTACTTTTATAGACTGACTCTCTTCGCACTGTAGCGATGAACCGTTGTCAGTTTTTTTTAATTTACTCACCTACGAGGTTTTGCAGTTCCTACTTTTAACGCCTGCTGGGTCCCAGTTCCGAATGCTATATCCTCGTCCGTGGTATCCGCAGAGATCACGCCTTGTAGATGTGTTAGAGAAATGAACGCCAGGAAGAAAACAAACTTACCTTCTGCAGACGCCATTTTGAAAGCAGAAACAATGTGCGCGTGCGTGGAAGTACTGACCAATCCAGACATCTGAAAATAGTCGTCTGTATGATAAGAGCCATATTCAAAACCCCAACAGACAAAACCTTTGACTTACGGGATATTTTAATTTCCTCAATTGTATCTATTTTGTATGTTATAATAATAACAAGTCATTGTCAATGACACGTCCCCGTTCCGTTCATATTTGAGTGACATATACATTCAAAGCAGATCATGACCGAAATGCACCTGCATATGTACAACACATTGTACTAAATCTGAACAAAATCCATCCATGCATGACTGAGATCTGGTTCCGGAATTGTGAAAATACGTGATTTTAATGCATTTTCGGTCTTAAAATGGCCATCATTCAGCTATTGTTAAGCGGATCATGAAACAAATGCACATATCTATTTGTGACATGATGTACCATGTGTGTGTGAAGTTTGAACTTGATCAATCCAGACATGTCTTGGATACGGATCCAGAACTGAATTTTTTAAGAAAATGGCCGCCAGTCGGCCATTTCGAACTTGATCCGGAAAAAAAATGACGTGCATCAAGGTCCTATTATGTTTAATGTAAGTACCAAATTTGACGAAATCCGTCCATGCATAACTG